GCGCGGGAGGCGAGCCCACCCTGAACTGAAACGGCCGTAGGCTGGGAGAGGCGATTTTTCTGCTAGATGCAGCTGCCTGCTAGCCTCCAGCGCCAGAGCACCAGGACTCGCAGGCAGGAAAACAGGTGACCCCACTAAGGGTCCAGACAATCGGGCCTCTGGCCCCACTCCTGTGCGTCCCCTGCGGGAGGGTAGCCTCTTCCGAACGCTCATGATAGCAGTATACTGGGCCTCAGTGAAGGAGAAACGTCCAAATCGAACGCACTCACACTCCTGGGTCAGGAGCGTGGGGGTACCCTCGGCGTACCGCCCGCAGACTCCACAGAAAACAAAACCGCCCTTCTGCCAGAGAGAGTGGGAGCCGTGGAGTGGGTGACCTCTCCAACCCTGCCATTCAAAACGGGCGGGGGGATCGGGCAAACCCATAAGACGGAAAAGCTGCTCATCAAAGGGAGGTGAGGACTCAAACCCGCGGGGAAGGCGAACCGCCACGCGAGGGGGCACAACGGGCAGAGATGCAAGGGGGCTTGAGAGAGCCAGGCACGCAGTACGCAGCCTGGGCAGGACACACCGCTGAGTCCTAAAAACCAACCGGCCGCGCAAAGAACAGCTCCTACCCCGAGGGAAATCGCGCCAGACATGGTTGGAGCTGCTCTTCGCCTTGCCAATTGCCGCCACGCGCCTTTGAGCCCGAGATAGGCGCGGTGGGGCCACCTGCCTCTCTGGATCCTTTGGCACGGCGGCGGCAGCGATGGCGAGAGAGGCGTTGCGGCGCAAAATAGCTTCAGCCTCTTTGAAGGAAAGTGCACGCCCGATCGGCAACCGAAGAGGGCACCTGCGCGCGCGCGGCTCGAGCATCCGCAAGGCCGTCCGCCACCGCGTTCAGGTTAACACCTCCCGTTTGGACTGCGGCGCCGAAACGCGCCAGCCTGCCCCTATCCTCGGCCAGGTGGGAGGGAACATGAGAGATGATGAGCGGGGCAGGCCTGGGTTCAGCGAGCCTCCAGAATTCATGCCATAGGTCTGCATTCTCGAGCTTGACATAATGATGTCTACCTCTGGCGTAGGCTCTAGCATGAATAATATGATCCGAGAGAATAATGAGCTCTTCGTCCTGGCGGACAGCCCTCAGCACCTCGATGAGACCCAAAAGCTCGGCCCGAGGGACTTTGGGCTTCGGGCTGCCCACCAGGCCCGTGCAACCCGAGTCCCAGGCGAGGGGGCTCAGGGAGGCCAGACGGGCAAAACCCCAGGCCACCCAACGGAGCAGGGGTTGCTTCCCGTGCTGACCCCCCGATCCGTCAGCGGCGTGCGCGCCGCCTGGGAGGGGCCAGGCCTGGACTCGGATCCACTCTGGGCTGCGATCCTCGGGGGGGGGGGGGGGGGGCGGGAGCACAAACCAGGGCAGGGGGATCAGGCCCTGATCCAGTAAATTGGGGCCCGACCAACCTCCTACAGAGCCTGCCCCGAGAGGTGATTCGTCCCAACCACAAAGCTGGACGGAGGCTCGACTCCTACCCTCTCGGCCCACTCCTGACAGAAGAAGTTACACGGACATTCCCAGAACTTGTGCACGCTGGTTTCGGGTGAGCGCTTGCAACGCTGACAGCGGTCATCACTCCGAAAACCTGCCGAGAAACGTCGGGATTCCGTCCAAAATCCCCCACGAGCAACTAGGCGGACCATACTGGCAAGAGCTGACTGGTCACTCTTTTCCAGCCTCTCAGCAAAAGTGACCACATGCTGGTACCAGACCCCACCCTCACCACCCGTCCCGTCCATATGCTTGGAGGCCTGGACCCAGGCGCGCTCCTCTATAGTGGACTCTAGGGCATCCAAGAGCCTAGTCGGAGGCGCAGCGCCCTGGTCTATCAGCTCCCACTTGAAACGAGCTGGGCCTCCAGGCTCCACAAGAGAGCCCAGGGTAGGGCATTCCCACCCCAAAGAAACCAGGGACGCCTGGTAAGCCCCCAGGGGCCCTCGGACCCACGTCCAGCCCTTGCCGACACGGGCGAGGGACTCATTCCAGCGCCCCCGAATACGCTCGGCGAGGCTAGGATTCGAGAAAACTAGGGAAAACCACGAGCCAATCAACTTGCGAATATACTGAATCCACGGGCCCCGCCCAGCCCCGAACGACACCCTGATGGCAATGGTCGCACACGATCCACGCTGGGGGCACTTGCTGCCCAAGCGGGCTCGACCTCTGAGCGGCCTCAGGGTGGAGGGGGCCAGGCCGTGAACCTCGGGAGCCCAAGCAGCCTTCGGGAAACTGTTCGTAAAATAAAGCGTGATGGCCTTGGGCCTAGTCTTGACAAAAACCTGCGATTTTTAAAGCGGCGCGCCTGCCCTTTGCGGGGCGGTGCCGGCGGACCTTCACAGAACGGGCCGCACCAAAGATAGCGTCATGGGCCAAGTCCCTGGAAGAGAAAGCCGATGGGAGACTAGCCCCCCCCCTCCCCCCCCTCCTGAGCCCAGGCATCCAGCCTTGAGCGCACTACAGCGGAGGAGGCCATCAGGGCGCACTTCTTGACAGAGAGAATGCAACGTCTACGCCTGAGACCTTCAAGCAGCGCGCGGAGAACGACAGGAAAAGCAATGCGAATTGAATGCTCAGCGCCCACAATGCGGAAAGCGAGATCACCAATCCATTCGCGCAGATGAAGCCCGTGGCCCTGGGGCGAGGCCCGTCTCAGAGGCTCGTGCAAGAAAGCTCTGGCCAAAGAGACTGCTTGGCCGCGCCCAGCAAGGATGTCTCCTCCAGGCAGCAGGCCAGGATGGACCAACTTTTCAAGAGCGAGGATGCGGGGCCCCAGGTACACATCGAGGGCAAGAACAAGGAGGCGGAGAGGGTAGCCCAAATCATGGGCCGCGGTGGCCAGATCGGGCAGGTAGACGGGGTCATAAACTTTCTTCATGTCACGCAATCCCCCCGCCACACCAAACCCGCCCAACACCGCCAACTCCCCCTCCAGCTCATCAATCCAGCCTGCATGCTCAGCAGAGCCGCCGACCGTCTTGCCCCAGGGTCCGCGGCGATCCTTGTCCCACGCACCGATCAGGGGCTTGCGAATTCGGCACAGCAGAACATAGCAGAAATTCTCAAGAGCCATGGGCCTCAACCCACCATCTTCCTTATCCAGGAGGCAACTCATGTTGAATAATTCCTGAAAGGGCACAGCTGCTTTATGTTCCATATCCGATAAAATTGCAGCGAGCGCTGCGAGACACTCAGGAGGCCCATCCTTAACCAGGCGAGGAGGCAAACCATCCAGACCACGGCCTCGCCTGTCGGGCACAGACATCAGAGCCGCTCTCACCCGGTCTACGGAGATGGGGGCCATCGGCTCAGATTGGAGCGCTGCGCGCCGCCACGATGCGAGGGCCGTGAGGGCCTCAGGGCGGCTATGGGAGCTCCAGATCTTATGCCAAGCTTCGCCCTCCACCTCCAACAGCTCAGAAGGTGACGCAGCTGGGTGGCCTCTGGAAAGTGGCTCCCGAGGTCCCATCGGTTCCTTGAGGAGCCTGTGGGCGGGGGCCGCAGCCTTTCGAAGAGCTTCGCCTAACGGGACCTTCCAACGACTTCGAGCCGCATTAGCAGCTACAGCCGCCGCTCTCTTGCCCTTTGCCTCCGCCTCCTCGCAGCACTGCTCTAAAGACTCAGCAGTAAGCTCGCGGAGGCGCCGAAGCCGATCGATCCACCTCGAGAGCACAACGGCCTCCACGGCGTCAGAGGGGTCAAGGGCCTCAGGTGGCACCAGGGCCTCGAGAGCACGGACCTGGCTCCAGAACTGAACAGAAACAGAAGGCAGGGGCTCAATGGGCTCCCCCGAATCCGCCCCGGGGTCGACCAGACGCCTCAGAAAGACCAGCTGGGAAGCCAGAGACTGCCAAAACCTAGCATGCCTGTCGGCCAGAGGTGGCCCCTTCCGAGGCCTTGGGCGCCAGCGGGGCCCTCCTAGAACGCGGGGCCTGGCACCTGCCAACATAATGGAGCCACTCACTCTCAGGGGTACCTTTTCTTGCGCATGTGACGAGCTTCAGGGCGCATGCCCACGCCGAAAGTTGGCGGCCCAGGTCCAAGGCCGACTGGGTGGAGTCGTGCTGTTCTCTGACTACCTGCGCAACCTCCAGGTTCGACTTGAAACGGTTTGGCCTCGAGTCGATCACGGATGAGGCCCGCTGCGTTGCCGTGTCCCAGTCGAGCTGCCACGAACCGCCGAGGCCGGTCGCGACGTCCAGCGCCCTGGGCCCCACCACTCGAAGCCCCATCGATCCTCCTGGGCTCCGCCATCAGCTCGAACTTCAGAGCCAAATGAGTGCCCCAGGGAGCCGTCGTGTCAATGCCGTCAAACCTCACGGCAGGCAGGCAATCGCAGCTCACGAGCCCGAAGTCGATCTTGCTGGCCGCGCCCCTGCCACCCGCGCAAGTGAACGCCAGGTCCGACGGGATCTCGCACAAACCCAAGCCGCCGAGGAAATTCACACTGGCTAGGTTGCCAACCGTATTCTGCCAATCTCCGATCATCACGACAGGCCCTGCGACCTGGCCGATGCGAGCCCCGAGCTGGGACAAGATACGCATACTCTTGCCGTTGAGCCCGCCTCCCGACGCGAGGTAGGCAGGAACAAAAGTGACGATCACGTGCTTCTAGCGGAGCGTCGCCACACACCAGCGCGAGCACGCACTGGCGGCCCAGCCGCCATCTGCCTCCAGTGAGGGGCTCGAGAGGCCCAGGTGCGAGCGAGCCAAAACTGCCACACCAGCAGAGGGCGAGTCAGCACCCGCGCCGTCGGCGGCTCCAATCACCGCCTTCCAACCGAGGCGGTGCATGGTCTTCTGCATCTTGACCAAAGCGGGCCCAAGAGCACGGGTCTCAACGAAAAACACAATGTCAGCGGTAGTCTCTGCAAGCCAACGTTCAGCTTGCGGGCCCCACTGGGAGATGTTGCCGTATATGATCTTCAGGGTATTGGGGGAGACGCGGGTCTCCTTGCTG